CCAAACTACACCCTAAGGCAGTGATGTGTCTTTATCTAACTTTTACGGACAACTCTAAATCAGATCTGGAGGAACTTAGGTAGAGCCTTGGTATCCAGTTCATATCTGGCAATGGGGAAAAAAATATTGGCCACAGATCTTCAATTGCATTGGATGCAACAAAAAACATTTTCAGAGTTTGTTGGACCCCACACCTTCTTTTTAGGAAAACCTTAACTAGCATTGACAAATGTTGGTGTCACAGGAGTTGGTTCTGTGCTAGAGTCACAGTCTTTTGGTCAGAAGTCATCTGCTGGATAAATATTGTTTCTGATACCTGTTTGAGATTTACAGATGTTAATGTTCTACTGGATTATGTACCAATCCTCTGGAAATTGGCAGAGGGACCATTTAACTGGCTTCCAAGGGCACTTATGGTGGCCAAACTTCTAACACTTCAATCCAAGAAAGAGAAATCTACCCCATCTGATGGTACAATGGACATTGGGATTCAAGATGGCCTCAACAGATAGGAGAATTTAGGGATAACCAACTGCACAAAGGTGAGAAGGGGGACACCTGGTTAGCCGGTAGTACGTGTGGAAAGGATCTAGGGGTCTTAGTAGACCACCAGCTGAACATGAGTCAACAGTGTGACACAGCAGCAAAAACAAAAAAAAAAAAAGTAATCCTATTCTAGGTTGCATCACAGAATCTAGTGTCCAGTTCAAAGAAAGTAAAAGTGCCGCTCTATTCTGCCTTGATCAGACCCCACCTGGAATACTGTGTCCAGTTCTGGACACCACAATTTAAGAAGCATATTGACAAGCTGGAATGTGTGCAGAGAGGCTGACCAAGATGATCAAGGATCTGGAAACCAAGCCTTATGAGGAATGGTTGAAGGAGCATTGTATATTTAGCCTGGAAAAACGGACACCAAGAGGACATATGGTAAAGGTAAAGGTAAAGACTTTGACGTGCTTTCGAACTGCTAGGTTGGCAGGAGAAGGACCAAACAATGGGAGCTCACTCCATCGCGGGGATTCGAACCACCGACCTTCTGATCAGCAAGCCCTAGGCTCTGTGGTTTAACCCACAGCGCCACCCGCATCCTAGGACATATGTTAGCCATCTTCAAATATATAAAAGGCTGTCACATGGAAGAAGGAGCAAGCTTGATTCCTCCTGCACTGCAGGGTAGGACTCAAACCAATCAATTCAAGTTACAGGAAAGGAAATTCCAACTAAACACCAAGAAAAACTCTCTGACAGTAAGAGCTGTTCAGGCAGCGGAATGGTCTCCCTCAGGAGGTGGTGGACTCTCCTTCTTTGGAGGTCTTTAAGCAGAGGTTGAGTGGCCATCGGTCATGGATGATATAGTTAATATTTCAGCATTGCAGGGGGTTGGACTAGATGACCCTTATAGAGCCCCTTCCAACTCTATATTTCTACTTCTGAGTAAACAGTTTTAGGATCACACTTTGATAGTTCCTTAGCCCAGGGATGAGGAACTTTTTCCAGCCTCAGCACCACATTGCCTTGGGGCCAGCAGCCGTAAGTTGGTAGAACGAGGATGGCCAGTTTTATGTGCACAGCCCTATGTTATCTTCTGTCCAGACATGCAAGAGATATTATCAGAGTTCAATAGCACATCCCAGACAGACAAAACCACTCAGGAGTCAATGCAGAGCCAATGAAGGATGTGACCATTGTGTGGTCTGGGAAAAGTTCCTAGGGTCAGGGTCTGATGTTTCTTCTCCATAGGACAGCCCCATAGCGACCCATTTCTACTTGAAAACAAACTCCAAATATTTGTGGAATTATTCCCTTTAAAACCACACCGCAAACCCACATTAAAGCACCATTTTCAAGGTTTCGTCTGCTTGCACATACAAGTCGGCCTTTTGCAAACGGCTGTATTAAGTCTGTTGGAGCGAAATCAGAAAAGATATGTTTAATGGCATGAGCTTCCTTGGGCTAGAGTCTGCTTAGTCAGATGCAGGAATCCATAAAAATGAAAATGTTTGTTATGGGACAGTGGAGGTGTCAGGGGAGTAGGGGAGAGGAAATGTTTTGAAAGTTCAGATATTCAGGAACCAGAGAGATGAGTTAGAATAGATAAACCGAAGTATCCATTTTCAAACGGTTCTCTATTTCTTCTTTAAAACGTACCTGGGTTCATTTTTTAAAAGCTATTTTTTAATTAAAGCTTAAAAAACAAACAAAGAAAAAACAATATACAAGCATTTTTCTAAACATAAAGATGAAAATAAGACTTCCGATTCTCCATCTATCAGCATTTAAAAACTTATGCAAAACTCTTCCTCCATAATAACATCCAACTCTTCTTTCCACAAACCAACCTTCCTTCAATCTTCAGACCCAGCTATCACAAACTCCTTCCCTTTTTTGTGTGTAAAAAGTCCATAAGGGCTTTGCAATCATTAATAAATGTCAATCATTGATTTAGAGAAAATTAAATTAAACACACATCTGGGGTTCCTCAGTTAGGAGAACTGTAATGGGTGGGACCAGGTTGCCCATAGACCTTGCTATGGGATGGGTATCCCCAGGGAAAAAATTGGTGTGATCTGCATGCTCCCTGGGCACCAGGGAGACCAGGCAATGCAGTGACAGACTCCAGATTTGGGGGACACCTACAGATACAGAGTCCCCTTCCTGGACCCCCAACCTTTGCTTACCCTTCTCCCCACCCGCAAGCCAAACCCTGCCAAGAAAGAGAACCTCAACACCGTACACTCAAAGCAGCAAGAATCCTGGAAACTGTAGTTTTGTTACATCTCAGCCAAGTCATATAAGAGGAGGATGTCATGTCTCAGATAGGGGAGTCTTCCTCAGAAGAGGACCAGGAGGCTCTCTCCTGGGTCAGGGCTGCATCTGGGGGTTAGGAGCTGGGATCCTGAGACAAAGGATGAGCCCATGAGGAAGGCTACACCTTAAACATCAGGTGGGAACCTGGCCCATTACTGGTGACTACTGGTGAAGGTGCCTCAGGAGGAAAGGTCCTCACAGGAATAAGATGCTCCTTTCAAGGAGACCTCTGGAAAGAATGATAGGAGTTGATAGGAGCTGAAAGTGAGCTGTGGGGTCCAGCAGCTCCAGCTCAAAACCCCCAGAGCTGGGCTCGGAGAGCTGTTGGAACCTGACTTCAGACTTTGTCTCTTGGCTGTCCCTTTGTTGGGGATCTCTGTTTATTTGCTCGGATTCTGGCCTTGGAAACTGCTTTGGCTGCTGCAGATATGCAGTTCCCTGCTTACTCAGGAGCCTAGTGAAACCAGGGTAAGTTTACCTCTCACAGAACTACAATTTTCAGCACCCTTAAAGTATAATTCCCTGGATTCTTTGGGGGATCATGTGCTTTAAATGTATGGTGTGTGTTGGTGCATATAGATAGATTCTTGGATGCCAAGATGCAAAATTGGGGCAAGTACTCTTTGGTGAGAGAAGCCCCCAGAAGAGTTTTAAAGTCACAAAATATGCAGCAAAGTAAACCCTGGAAATACAGGCTGTTAGACTTTAAAAATACGCCCTTCCAAGTGTGTTCCAGAATTTCCCTCTTCCCCCAAGATCACACCTTTAGTAAGTTTAAAATATTTACTTACAAACTCTCCAAAGGTCAGATTCATGTGCTTTTCCATACATGAGTGAGATAAGTTGCACAGACAGTAAAACTTAGTTACAAAGTGGTGAAAATTCCTAGATATAGGAATTCAAGAGTGGCTGGTGATAGCCATGCGGTTGAGCTGGAGTAACCAATTCAAACTTCCCCAAACAATGAGCTTCTCGGGTAGACTTGATTACCTCTTTCCTTCCAAGGTAAGAGAAGCAGCGTAGCTAACCTGGTAGGACAGCTTACTCTATGGTATTAATCCTTCATGCACTGATTAGACTTAAGTGTGTTGCTGATATTGTGATACTTGTTATCCCACAGTTGTGTGCAGCCCATTGCTCCAGACAGCAAGAGTGGAAGAAATAATGTGGAAATAGCAAGCAAGCAGATTTCGACAGTGGTTTATTTATTCACAATTGCATTTATACCCCCACCTGTCTGAGGCCCAAGGAGGTGACATAACATGCTTTCCCCACCCACTGCCTTCCAATTTTACAATAAGGACAACCCTGCAAGGTAGGTTAGACTCTGAGAGGCACAGTGAACTACATGACTGAGTGGGGATTTGAAGGGTCCTAGTCCAGTGCTCAGCGGGTGGCGCTGTGGGTTAAACCACAGAGCCTAGGACTTGCCGATCGGAAGGTCAGCGGTTCGAATCCCCGTGACGGGGTGAGCTCCTGTTGCTCGGTCCCTGCTCCTGCTAACCTAGCAGTTCGAAAGCACGTCAAAGTGCAAGTAGATAAATAGGTACCACTCCAGCGGGAAGGTAAACGGTGTTTCCGTGCGCTGCTCTGGTCCGCCAGAAGCAGCTTAGTCATGCTGGCCACGTGACCCGGAAGCTGTATGCAGGCTCCCCCGGCCAATAAAGCGAGATGAGCACCGCAACCCCAGAGTCGGCTGCGACTGGACCTAATGGTCAGGGGTCCCTTTACCTTTACCTAGTCCAATGCTCTAACCACTACACCTACACTACACTGGTCGCTGCCAGGAGATCACATGGGGTAGCCCCTCTTGCCATGGGAACTCCCTGTCCCTGACCATGTTCCACACTGGCTAGACACCCCAAGGTGCCACAGATCTCTGTTTGGACCCCTCCTGTTTATACTTTGCACCCTTGAACTCAGCAGCACGCTGACGGGGCACCCTTTGTACGCCGAAAGCATCCCCAACTGCTTTTGCAAAAGGGTTGCAAAGATTTGCAAAGCACAAAAGAGCGCTGCAGCTCGTTCCGGAGCGTTAGCAAGAAATCCGCCTTGCTTCCTGCAGCTTTCTATTCCTTCCTCCTCCTCTCTCGTTTCTTTCAAAAGCCCTTAAAAGCTCCTATGGTCAGGGAGGAACAGTAGGAGGAGACATAAAAGAGTTTCAACTGCGGGAAGTGGCTCCACCTTCATTTAAAGAGAGGAGTAGGAGAGGCTGTTTAGCACAGCCGCCGTCCTGTCTGCCTCTGCCCCCAGCCCGCCCCACCGAGAGAGACACGCAAGCGGATGCTCGGGGCGCCGCGCGCTCCCCTTTGTCTCCAGCGAGCATCATGCTGGCTTCCAGCGGCCCCAGCACCGGCCAGACCTGCGGCCTGGTGCTCATCTTCTCGCTGCTCCTGCAGTCCATATGCGTGGCTGTTACCTTCCTTTATTTCTCCAACGAGCTGCAACAGGTCAGTGGAAAATTCGCGCGTGGGGGGGGGGATCCGTGTTGGGTTTTTTTTTTTTCCTCGGCCGCAGGCGGGCGGATCCTTGCAGCTTCCTCGCAGTGCATGCCTATGTGTATATTTAGATAGATTGCAGAGGTCTCCTCGGGAGTAAATCCCGTTGAGTTCACTGGGGCATAGCTCCCAGGGAGTGCATGCTTTAAAAAATAAATGCATGGTTTTTCCCTTCTCCATTTTGCAGCGTTGCCTTTATGCTCCCACGCGAGCTGCAACACGTTGGGCTTGTTTCTCTGGATTAAGGGCCGGATCGCTCCCGCGCCCCAACTTGCCTGCCTTTCTTCCCCTCCCTTAGTTCTTTGTTCGTAAAGCAAAAGGAAAGTTCTGCCATTAGGCGGAGAGGCGTGGTTAATTCGAGGGATCCCAACGATCCTCACTAGGCTTACTTTGAAGTAAAACTCCTAGGAAGGGAGAGGATAATAAAAACGGGAAAATACTTCAATTGCGCGTTTGTTTTGACTTCTTCAAACTCATTTAACCGTTTGTTTTCTTTGCCGGACAAAGAAACCGGGGGAATTTTAGCATTCAACGGGTGCCATTTACTTGAAAAGAAAAGTCTGGCAGAGGTTAAGCCTATTTGCCTTAAAGTAAGTGCCACTGATTTCGGTGGGGCTTACTTGCAAGTAAAAGTACATGGGGCGGAGTGCTCATTTTGCAGCCTTGAGCGCGCGCGCTTATTTCCGAGGAAACGGAAATTGCACGTCTGCAACCCGATGCAACTTAACTCTCAAGTAAATCCTGCATTGATGCTATAATGCTTCCGGCAGGATCGGGATCCCAGTGCTCTGCGAGCAAGTTCCTCGCGAGCAAGTTGCATTGGTCGCACCGGGACTTGCTTCCGAGGAAACGGGGCAAGGGATTTGAATGCGAGATACATTACAAAAACTCTTCCCCCTCCAAATTAAAAAGTATGTGTGGCGCTCCAGCTGGGACTCCCTCCAACTCCACCCAGCTTGGCCAATGGCCAGGGATTTGGGCAACATCTGGAGCGGGGGTGGGTGGGGATCCTGCGGCCTTCCAGATGTTTGACTCCAACCCCCAGCAGTCCTCTATATTGGCCCATGGTCAAAGGATGATGGGAATTGTAGTCCTGCAAATTATGGATAGGTCAAACCTTCCCCACTCCTGGCAGAAGGTCTTCTGAATAATCAATAACGCTGCATCCCCATCATGCTATCATTCTGTGTCAGTAGTTTGTTCTTTTCATTGTGTGGGTTGTGTGCATTCCGGACATTCAGCTCCCTCCCATAATCCTGGCCGTCGGCCACTTTGGAGCTGCAGGAAAAGTTTTTGCAGTTCGATTCTGCCTGTTGTGAAAACTCTGACAAAATGGCAAAGGGGGGGGGGAACCATTGCTCACTTTTGGGCAAGGAGCGTCCGACAGCTGGAGTCTTTGTTCTTGCCAGAATGGATGACCCCCAGATGGCCAAGTGAAAAAGATAAAAGTGAGGCTCTTCTACCTTAAACCATCAATGGTGAACCAGATGTTTTGGCACTCCAGCCCGCATCATCCCTCACCATTGGTTATGCTGGCTGTAGCTGAAGCCGGGAGGTACAGCACAAATGTTCCTTCCTCCCCAGGTTCTTCCTGCTGTTGAAAATGTGCTTTCAAACACTGCAAGGGGCAAATGGTTTGATGTGTAAGAGACTTAAATGGCTCCATAATCCTCTCATAAAACAGAAAGGCTTCGAAGCTCTTTCCCAAAGCTAGAGTGCTTTTGTTTTCAAACCGTGGCTTAACTCAACTGGCATTCCAAGCTGTGACCAACAAGTCCCCCTGTTTTTGTTTTGCTTCCTTCTGTTAAAAAAATAAAGAAAAAAATGGCCATAAAATTTTTGAGCTGGCATAAACAAAAGGCTACTTGGAAAAGAGAAGTCTTTGATTGCTTAATTCCTTCTGTATCTCGGTTTATCTTTCCAAAGGAGATAAAGAGTTCTGTTTGCAGGATAACCTCTGCATTTGACTCTGGAAATGACAAGTTGTTTTGATGAGCGTTTTTTTCTGAGATATTCCATGGAATGGCAGCCTGCTTTGTGCATTCCTTATCAAACAGCCCAGGTTGTAACAGTGCCCACAACCAACTTTGGTGGCAAGATCCGTGGAAGTTTGCCTCCTCCCCTTTCCTTAAGGAAGCAAAAATGCCCATAATAAAAAGAGGGTTTTCGATCTGGGTGCAGGGCAACAGTAGTATTTCTCTTTGTTTTGTTTTTTCTTCTAAAGTAATTTTCCAACAAACAGGCAAACACAAATAACAGCAAACATTAGGCAAGAAATAACTGAGGATCTTCCCAGATTGATAGCACATTCCAAAAATAAGGCTGCACGGTTTCTTACATTCTGAACTGGAGAAGATTTTGCGTGTGTGTGTGTGTGTGTGTGTGTCTCATTTTCATTACATAAAAAACAATGCAATAAAAATCTCTTTTAGTGGTTGTAATAAAAAGAAATAAAATTGCCAAGCATCTCTCATTTGTAATACGTCCGAGTATTACAAGCTTGTGTTCCAGTTGTAGCAACATGCCACCAAGTTATATTTTCATCATGGAGATACAGTGAAAGAACCTCTTGTCTGTTCATGCAAATCCAGCCCAGCCATCAGGACTCCTGAGCAAAGGTGGATTCTGGTAATACTCACTTAAGAAACTTAAGAGTAATCTTGTGTGCAGTTGTGTACAGTCCAGATGATTTATTTAGGAATGAATAAATAAATATCTGGATTACCTGCATTGTCATGGTGCAGGAGACATAGAAGAACTTTGATTTCCACACCTGTGCTCTTCATACACAAGAGTTCTCGTATTGGTTCAGAAGAAGGTAGAACAACCTCTTGTGACCCCAGAGAAGGGCATTCACACGTCCACTTGCATTTTTCTGTTCTCTCCACTTCCGTGAACCAAAGTGCCCTTCTCATTAGGAAGAGTCATTCAGATACATCTTTACTGAATGAATAGCTGGGTAGACTCTTGCAGAGATGATTGTGGGGCAGGGAGAAGCCTGTTTTCCTTCAGCACCTGATAAACTACAACTCGCATCAACCCTGACCAATTACCCTGCTGTCTAGGGAGGGTGGAAGCCTTTGGGAGTTCCAACCTGGCCAGCTGACAGGCTTGTTGTGAAGACAAATGAGACAAACCAGGGTTTGTCAGCCCTGTGCGACTAGATGAAGTCCCAAGTTACCAATGTGATGAATGCTCTCTCTGTGACTAGCGTTGGTGCATAACTTCATTACGATTTCTTGTTTGGACACACAAGTGTTTTGGTCACATGGGCAACTCACGAGATATTCCTGGAGGGCTTGCAGAGGAGGGGGGGTGCGCCTTACTGCTTTATTTATCTTTACTGTACTTGCACTTTTTATATACTGGGGCTGCATTTCCCACGCTTTCCTTCCTCTGAACGAAGATGATCATGGTCAGTGAAATTGTAGGTCTCAGAATTACCCTGTGCTCCTCTTTCTTGAGAGGACAAACATCTCTTTCTGCCATAGACTTAAGAAAGTTAGATTGACACACACTGCTCAACAAGGTGACTAGGATTGTTCCTGTCCGTGCTTTGCTAGGGGGAGCAGAACTGCATGCAAGTCACAGGACTGCTATCCTCTCGGCATGCAACCAATTTGAGCTGGGAAGGGAATCTCCAGCCACAATCCTGTTACATTGGGCTTCAGATGCAAACTGGGATGTATTTGGTGGTGGTGCAAGCAAACCCCTGGCAGAAAGAGGCAACTGGGTCATAAACTTGCGGAGTAGCATTATTAAGGTAAGGTAAAGGTACCCCTGCCCGTACGGGCCAGTCTTGACAGACTCTAGGGTTGTGTGCCCATCTCACTCAAGAGGCCGGGGGCCAGCGCTGTCCGCAGACACTTCCGGGTCACGTGGCCAGCGTGACAAAGCTGCATCTGGCGAGCCAGCGCAGCACACGGAAACGCATTATTAAGCTTTGTATAATAACCACGTGGCTTGGATTACTAATGGGTTTTCTGAATGGGTGTCTTTGTAGGGAAATACAGGCTTGTGGGAAAAGGGTGCAAATTACTGCATCTCTGAGGCTCTGCAGAAGGGATTATTTCCGTGGTCCAAATTTACATTTCCAGCTGCTTTTCTGCTTGGGTGGTGGGAGAATAGGGGGACTGCCAAAGGTGGGAAAGAAAGTGCAACTCTGTAATGTCACCTGTGTTTCCTTAAGCAACAACAACAACAACAGAAAACTGGACATAATGGACTGCACTGAAGGGTTGTTTGTCATACTTCTGTCTATGAATCCCTGCTTCGCAATAGTCATACCTCAGGTTGCGAACGTGATCCATGTGGGAGGCACGTTCGCAATGCGCTGCACATGTGCGTGACGGGATTTGGAGCTTCTGCGCATGCGTGTGATATCATCTTGTGTTTATGCGCATGTGCGAGCACCAAAACCTGGAAGTAACTCATTCCGGTACTTCCGGGTTTGGCGCAGTCCACAACCTGAAAACGCGCAACCCAAGGTATGACTGTATAGGCTCAAAAATACTGGGCTGCGGTTCAAGACTGATGTGTAAGCTCTCTCAGGCTCATGTTCACTTCTAACATACATTGGACTACACTGCAGGGGTGTTAAAAGCAATACAATCTGAGCCTGAACCCCACTCCATCCTGCAGTGTGGGCATGATAGCAGCAGAAACTTTCTATTTTCACTGGAAGAAGGGTTCAAAACACAACAAAGCCACAAAACTTTTTTTAAAAAATTACTTTTTCACATGAAATAAGATCCGAATTGGAAAAAAGTCTTTGGTTCTACTTTCTTTCTTGAGGGGTGGAGACACACATGGCTATGCAATCACAAATACAATCCTGGATTTTCCCATTGTATTGTTTGGGCAGCTGTCACTTATGCTGCAAAGGAGGGGAGAATGCATTTAAAGGAACCAGGAAGTCTTCCAAACAATAGAGTTATTAGCCTAGAGAGAGT